ACATAGGTAGAAAAAAATTGAAAGGGAATGTCACAACAAATGATATGCAGTTACCGTTCCGATCGTGCATCTTCATCAAGCTTGCTAATGATTTTGATGAAGATGTAGGTTCAGAGCGCACAGAGTTCCATGGCACGTACTGTGGAATCATTCGTTCTCATTTATGCAATTTCTCCAGAGGACGACGTTCCTAATATGTCAATTGGTCTGGATTAGGGATTGGGTGATTTTCCTCTCTTCGTGTGTTATTCTCAATGTGTTTACGTAGCCCTAAAGAAATTAAGAAAAGAAGAAGAAGAAAGAAGAAAAAATACTTCCTCGAAATGGTCTTACGTTTGATTGCACAAGGTTTTATTGGGCCTTGTTACTGGAACTTTAACAAACAAATCGATAGACCATGGGGTTCAAGAGGGTTTAATATCCCCTGTGAAATGAATATTGCTGCAAGTTACATTAACTTAATGATACTATACTATGAAATCTTTAAAACAAACAAACAGCAACAAATGACAACGAAAATCGATAAACAACACAACATTTAAGTCCCAAACAAGCGCAGTGGTGCTTACAACTCCCAATTTCCCTTATTCTAACGAACAGAAAACCACCTCAGCACTCGAGCGAGAATCTGCAGCTCAGCCAAACGATCTGTTAGTATTCTTGCCGCCGGAGACTCAGAGACTCCAAAGTTTACACATAACTTCTCGAGTTTTAAGACTTGGTCCATAGCGTGGATGCCTCTCGCACCGATCCTAATGGCTTTCTCGACTCGGTTTTTACACTCCACTGCCTGTTATACACTATCGTGATTGCATAGATATACCGGTATTTGGCGTGGAAACCCATCTACTTTCCTGGCAGGTTCTTATCTCTCTCTCTCTCTCACTCTCCTCTTCTCTCTCTCTCTCTCTCTCTTCTCTCTCTTCTCTCCTCTCTCTCTCTCTCTCTCTCTCTCTCTCTCTCTCTCTCTCTCTCTCTCTCTCTCTCTCTCTCTCTCTCCTCTCTCTCTCATCCCTCCCTCCTCCTCTCTCTCTCATCCTCCTCCTCTCTCTCTCCCTCCCTCTCTCTCTCTCTCATCCTCCCCTCCTCTCTCTCTCTCATCCCTCCCTCCTCCCTCCCTCTCTCTCTCTCTCTCTCTCTTTCAAGAATCGCTGAATTTCCGATTGGTCCTAAGAGAGACCGGATACGAGAATGGGCTGCCTATATTTGGAGTTATGGGCCATAGTGACTGTGTGTACTTTCGGCGAATCGTTAATGGATAGGGAGGTCCAGCCACCATTTTCTTGGTAAATCTTTCTCTCTCTCTCTCTCTCTCTCTCTCTCTCTCTCTCTCTTCTCTCTTCTCTCTCTCTCTCTCTCTCTCTCTCTCTCTCTCTCTCTCTCTCTCTTTTCTTTCTTGTCACGTCTTTCTTGTCTTGTCTTCTCTACTCTTCTCTCTTTGTCGTTCTCTCTACCATTGTTTACAATTAGAATCGAGAGATTTTTGTAAGCGCAATCATAACTTAGAATTACTTTTACGTGATAAGCCCCGAAGTTCAACAAGTATTAGATATTTTTTTGTAACCAAAACATTAATTTTCCTGAAGATTAAGTGAAATATATAAGGGTCCTTCGGAGCAGGTCGATACGCCCGGCGGGTCTTCTCCCAACCCATGAAAGAGGGCTGTCGATGTCATAACAAGCCTGTTATGAACCTGTGCAGTGAAGCATACACATGATAAAGATACAGTGTCAGACTAGGTTCCAAGG